TTGTAGATATATGGAAAATGCATGAATTTAGGGTGGTATTGACTCGTGTCAAGGCGATTCTGGAGGACCGTTTGCTTGCCAGGACCACAGTGGTGAGTAGTAAATTAGGTTTTCCTTTATCTACAAGATTCATAAGCAGACTATACTGAATACACTGAGCTGTGCCTTTCCCTTCCCTCTATTTCCTATGGGTGTGCCTGACGTCTAATCATAGTTATTGCCTGGTATGAACTTTTACAAATTTGCGAGTCACTTTTGCTCGTAACACATACTCTCATTTGGACGAGTTCGTATTCGTTCCAATGAATTGTCTCTTTTCTGCATACATATATTCGATTGGGAACATAGTTATCTCGCTGTCATTCATATTTTTATTGTTTTTCTCATCTTTATTAACCAAAGCAAACCAATCGAAAGATATTTACCATTGTTGCTCGTTATGACAGAGGTTTACATAGTGGCAGGTCTTATGAGATATTGAGTGATTCGCGGGTGGATATCACTGTGTTTGTGTACTGTCCGTCAAGAGATGAGGCACCCATCAAGTCCGTGATTTGTAATAGGGTAAAGTTTGAAGACGACCGCACCACCATCCACGCACACTTCGCTGTGGTAGTACGTGCAAGTTTCTGCGTCTTCCTTGACAATGGGAGAAGCGGACGTCCTTATCGAAATATCTTCAAACACCGTGAAGCGAGTGAATAACGATGCACTGTGTGGCCCTCATCCCAGGCATCGTTTGTGTTCCAGACATTACCAGGCCGCGGAACCGTGGTATGAGACGACTCGAATATTGCTCTGAAAATGGCACTGAGATTTAAACCAAAGAAGGGACATGCCCTCATTCATCATTTCCTGAAAAGTGTTCAAAACTTTTTATCACTACCAACTGATTCACCAAGGGTCTGTTGTCATCAGAGGTGTTAATCAGTCAATAACAGAACTTCTAAACTTTTCCGATGGCGTTACAGGACTTTCTTCCCTGTTTAATTGGCGTTGCCTTCGACAAATTGCATTGCCGTATTTTTTAATACCGTCGCCGCGTGCCTGGTTCTTTGGACCGAGATTACCCTAACTACAAGTGCTCCCGACACGACTTTTTGGAGATGCCGCGCGTTTGGTGGCACATTTTTGGCCCGCACGTGACTTTAGCATAGTTCCGCGGAGACCACCAATACTCTGTTTCTGTAAAGCAACGTGGATACGGCAGTTGTTATTACTAATAATTACTTCATACATTATATGGAAGACTATTGCAATACAAAGGCTCTCTCACTAATTATCGTTGCAGAGCCGTACGTTTTGGCTGGTGTGATCAGCTGGGGTGATGGATGCGCTCAGAAATCACAACCTGGAATTTACACTATGGTTGCACCATACTTGTCCTGGATCGAAAGCATTTTGGACAGAAGCAGGAGTTGATTCCATTGGTGCTTACTCAACTGTGTGCAAAGTTATTTAAATGAGACAAGTAAAGATCTTCGCCTTTGATGTCAGAACTAATTCGTTCACAGTGCTCAACTTTTGTCTTTCGATGAATGATCTCCAGTGGTGTCGTTTTCTATCTTGGGTCTTCATTAATGAAGACATCTCAGATACAAGTTAGCTCATAGAAAGAAGAAACAAAATGAGTTGAACATGAGCAAAAAGATAAAATGGTTGGCATGAAAAAGAGAAGTTATCTCCCATAACGTGCAGTGCTTTACTACGCCGAGCAGTCTGCTGCACTGTCGGGCCTGGTATGACAACCAACTCATTAGGAAGATATCACAAGTTCCATCTTCAAAAGAGGCGTATTCTTTAACTTGTCCCAAAATTTCGTATTCAGAAGAATAATATTTAGATCGCATTAGAGATTCGATGTCATTATTTCGATTCCTCTGAGATCCTCTATGACTCGCCTTTTCTCACTCTCTTCATCGATGATGCTCCTCCTAGTAGGGTATGATCGTGTTTCAAAGGATTGAGAGAGAATATAATCGCACGAGACTACTCTGTAAAGATATTTACCCCCCGATGACATTGTTGGTATTTCTTTTAAATGGAACCCAAACCTAAAAATGAGGGTATGGAGAGAGTAGGTTTTCGAGTAAACGATGCGCAGTTCTATGTGCTCTATCATCTCCTCAATTGAGCAAGGGTTGGTGGAACTTGAGCTGCCTTCTGCTGAAACTCCAAGTTGCTTGAAGGTCGTTGATCTGACAATGAGCTGCAACTGATTGGAGATTAGTTGCACAAACGTGATATGGAACGACCCGAAAATTCCGAACGGTATTGAAATTGAAAATGTCTCAGGACTTTTAGAAAGACGAACATGTTGGAATGTCGATCGAAATAAATGGTTCGTTGAAAAACGGTTGCGTACAGAAGCCCAGGATATTTATAAAGCACTAAGCACTATTTCAAAAGATGAGAATTCCGTTGACTATGGCTACGGTTGTTTGTTCCTCTAAATATTAGAGTTAATCGTCTCTCAATCTTCGTCTTCGCTTCTCTCCAGCCCCCCACGCTTCCCCCCCNCCCCCCCCCCCCCCCCCCCCCCCCCCCCCCCCCCCCCCCCTCCAGATGCGATCAAGTCCAGTCACCTTCTTCCATTTACCACCACTGTCCATTCCTGCCCCCTGTACCCCTATCAAATTTGACGCTTCAGGTCGAAAGTAATGGGAGTTACGAATTTCCCAGTGGGCACACACAAACACAGTCTAACCAACAAGCCCACATACCACATTATATATAGTAAGATTATAGAGCTATCCACCAGTTGACTCTCATGCCCATGGCAAATGATACGGCTTCTAGAACACTGAATCACCATGAATAGTGTTGGTCGATATGGTAGACTCGGACAGTCCTATGATCAGACCTTTTATACACGCTTCCGTGCAAGCGTTTGTGCGTTGAAATTACAGATCGTCATCTTAGTCATTCTTTTGTGCGGCCCGTTATGGCCAAGTACCGGTGACTTTTGATGAGCGATTCACTCCCCTATCCTCCCACCACCTGGGGTCAACTTAATTAGCCGCGTCACTAACCTGCTAGAGCTCCTCTATCATGATAAATTAACGGAATTCATATGTCCATGCACATTCATATCGCACAATAGCACGCTCCGGCTTACTCTTTTTCTGCTCTTGGCAGTATGCCACATTCCACTTTGCATGCAAACGGGGATTCCAGAGTTCAGAATGAGTAATCCGGTGAACTAAGGGCACTAACTACGTACTTATTTTGTAGAGCTATGAAAATGAAGCTGGGTGAGAAATGTTCCATTCCATTTGACTTGACGTTTTGTTAACTGCTGTTATTTCGCCGCAGTACTCGTTCCGAAAGTCTCACAAGGTTGGCGATTTATGGGCAAAGTTTCAGTCTCGGACAACACTCAAACCCGTACTTGTGCTTTCCGAACACCGTGCCCTATCCCTTACACTACCGGGATACCACTTGCCCTCGCCTTCTTATTGGCCTATATGCCATAGCTTCTCAGCACTCACACGCAAGAAGGCGAGGGAAGCGTGGTCTTGGTAGTGTGAGGGATAGAGCCAGGAAAGCCCAAGTACGTGTCCGTGTCTTTTCCGAGACTGAAGTTTTGTCCATAAATCGCCAACCTTGTGAGAGTGTTAAAGGCACTGTTAACAAAAAGGTAAGGGGACCCTTTTTTTGACGGGAATAGATAGAACTACTCTAGAATAAAGCGATAACAACGAAAAAGCGCAAAAAAACGAGGAACAAAAAGAATTACAAAGGGACGAAAAAAGAGCTGGAAACAGGGGGTGGACGAATTTCACATTGAAAAAACTGCGGTTAGGGAGTGTTCGAGCGAGAATGCACGAAGGCGTCGCAATGTCTGCAATACAGACAACACATTTAAATTAACGGAGTTTCTAAAATAAAAAAACATTTGCATGCAATAATCTACCCAAAATGTGTTAAAATCTTCAATAAACTTACGAGAATAGTTGAAGAAAGCTACCGTGAAAAATTCATAACAAAAAAACAATAGAAATAACAAACATAAAATAGAAATAACAGCCGAAAACTAGCTCCTGTACGAGGCGGTCGACCAGCTGACCATTCCTGGCAATTTGCCAATCNGCGTATTGATTTTTCACCAACTTCGCTCCAGTGCGAATGTGGTGAAGGACAACTTGAACACGTAGTCAGCCTAACGAGGGGCGGAGGCCTCCCATCCCCCACTGTTCTTGGCCTTATTGCGCCCTATCCAGCCATTTTTCGACCTAATTCCTGCACAAATGTTATCAGAGGGGGCTTAGAATTCTAACCATGTGCATATCTTCGGAACCATTTATTCGTTAACTTTAAAGCAGACGAGCCGATTGAACGGAACGACATCAGTTAAGTGTCCTTTTGAGTTTGGAATGCAATAAAACTGCTGTAAAATCTAAATAATCTGCTGTTGGCATTGAAGATTATGTAAAACAATCTCATTAATATACTAAATGGGACACAGGGGTCACAGGAGGTGTTACTAAGTAAATCTCTTCTTCTTCCTGATTTTGAATGAATTTTGAAGAGAGCCAAACTGCTCAAGTAGATTCAACGCTAGCAGGGGTTTCGCTTTCAGAGTAATCATCGCAAAGCTTTTCAACCCCTAAGCAAAATACGGCCACGCATTTCACTCTTATTTACTTATGTACAAAATACATAATAATAACGATAATCAATAATCAATAATAATAATATATTAATGAATTAATAATCAAAGAACAATAATAATATTAGTGGTAATAGCAGTAATATTATTATTATGTTTATCTTTATTATTAATAACCACTACCGCTGAATGCAATCTGTCCTGCGTTGTCAACACGTGGCCAGCAACGCCATCAGTCGGTGGGTCGGCATGTCGCTGAATTCGGAAGCACCCAGTGATCTGACCGTTCGCGCTCCCCCTTCCGGCACGTGCACCGCCCCCGTGGGCGGAGCTCTGCAGAGCCCATATGCGCTCTGTTGAACTCATATCAGGCCACACCTGCCCCGAACATGCACCGACCTCTAAAGGTGTTTGAGCTAATATTGAATTTCCCTTTGAACGTACACACATACACACCAAACCTGTGGATTATTTATAGTAAGTACTGGATAAGTAGGGCCCGTTGTTGCTACTTATCTACTCTACTTCAAGTTTGGGCCCGAATGATTAGCGCCGGAGTCACCGCGAATTTCTTCGCGCGGTTTGCCAATCCATCCAGGAATGGCTGCTTACGCGCCNTTTTTACGGTCGGGTTCTGACCGTGAAATAAAATGCAACAGACGTAGATAGATAGGGCGCGCCAGCCGCCCGGCGGACTATGAAAGCAGCCATTGGATGCGTCTACCCACACACGCGAAGCCTAAGCTCCCCAATGGCAAAGTGGCTGCGAACAAGGCCGCGCCAAATGACCGCCTACTGTTTAGCAGCCGAAAGGGCAAGGGCGGCTCTGCTGTCTGCGCTCCACCTGCTTGGAGGGAAGGTTTCTGTTGGAGAGGGTGCAGAGAAAGCGGCAGAGACGCTGGACATCACTTCGTTTGGTTGACAACGGCCCTGCAATCCTGAGGTATTTGTAAGTAACGTTTTACAAGTAACACTGGTTTTTGTGAAGGACTTGGAATCGGAGTGCAGGCGTCATGGATAAGCTTCAGGTTGGTGTCGCAACAATTTCATTACAGATTCGTTCTGAATGCTTTAATAGTGGCGTATTGCAAAAGAGAACTGGGGGCATGAGCTTTTTCTTCTCGGCAATTTTTGTGAAAAATTCAAGTTGATTCAAAAGCGATTTGCCTTCTGAGTCCATACCGTTTATCAAACTGCCTCTCAATAGGTTCATTGAGGGAAGAAAAATGTAATACCAAAAGTGAAAAAGTAATTTCGGTGTCTGTAAGCGAACTCGATTTAATTTAAACAGGAATCTTTGTCGTGAAGAACAATCTAGTGTTGACATTTCCAATACCAGTTCAGCCCTCGGTTCAATACTTTTCTCTCTGTATTCCTTCTATCCATTATTTTAATGAAATGGGCAGAACTCCCAAATTTTCAAAACTACTTTGCCTGCTTTTCAGAAAGTTCCTTATTTATTTTCTGCTGTTTTGTTTATCTTCCACTGTTTTTATAGGGCATAACCAACATTAAGGTCTCCATCGAAATTGGGACGGGTTCTGATCACTTTCGGTGGGAACTGTTTTTCTATCTGTAAACTATAGGATTACCTCTAATAGCAAAAAAAATGATTCTTTTTCAGCACAGCTAATGTCATAAGATTACAAAATATTTACAAATCGGGTTTTTGGACCTTGATTTTGAACAGTTGTTGCCCTCACGCTCTGCATTTGGTATTGCATTTAATTCGGATGCTGTGCACAAAATTAAAGCAATTTCTTAGGTTACTAATATATTTCTTTTAAGGGTGGCGACTGGAACAGCTTCTTTCATCAATTTGAAGCAGTGGCATCTCAGTCTACAACTAACGTTTCACGCCCTTCAATCGTCGACGACAATGTCCCATTACCCATTATTCGTAGGTTTTTTCTTCGAATATCAGCCAAGCATCAGCATTGAAACTGCAATGTTTATTACTGAAAAGAAGTTCAGGAGGGCATCATTTTGACATCGTTTATCACGACGCGATGGATGAGCATGTCAAGTGCCAGGTGAGAGTGTCCCATGGTTTTCATTATTATTTTTTAATGTTACTATGCGAATCACTTTTTGGGCGAAGATCCCATCTTGTTTCTTGGATAGTTTCCGTAACCAATCTTTTTTTTGTTAATCTAAATTCTGATCATATTTCATGGAACATTCAGGTGTGTGGGATGTTGCTTCGTCGAACAATGTTTGCAGCACATGTACGACAGCGTCACCCTGAACATTGCCCTCCGTCCATATCTACGGATGACGATTCTGGAAGGCATTCAGGACTTGAATCGCCTGACATCAGCAGAAACCCTAGGTAATCTCATGAGCACTTGTTTCTTTTCGCTGTTTGCTTCGTGAACGCTTATTATTCAGTTTTCCTTTTTCTCCAAAGCTGATGTCTCCTCCGATCACCAAGGAACCAATCAAATTAACAATTAGCCTTGTAAGTTTCCAGGAATTCGTTTCGAAGATAAGTCCACCCTGCCTTATTTAGAAAGGTCATCGAAAGCATAGACGTAAAAAGGCAAAGCGAGAACGTCGTAGGGAGAGCAGGCCCAGTACATCAGCTGGGGAAGAGAGATGTTCGCCTGCAGAGGCGTTACAGCTCGTGGAAGATCGTTTTTGGCCACGTGAGGACGAACCAGGACCATCGGCGCAGTACTCATCGCCGAATTTTTTGGAAGAAGCGACGCCTATTTCTAATCGCTTAAAGGTATAAGATTCATTTGTATTTAGGGCAGTTGTGACGGTTCAATTCGACAATCTACGGTAGCTTTCATGACGCTAGGGTGGGTTGCACGTGTTGCGCTCTACCACACAGTCGTTAAGTCTTCTTATGGTACATTTTCGGCTCCAGAAACTGTTTTGTAACTACTTCCTTGTCCATCCCTTGGGCACGGCAGCAAATAGTATAGTGTCCGCGTGTGCTCGTTAAACGAGAGAAAGGTAAATAACTGGGAGGAGAGCAACAGTAAAAACACGAACGTCGAGAGAGTTATCCCTTCCAACAAGAAATTTCATATATTACCGATTGATAGAGACGCTGCAAGGCAACCAACTGGGGAAAAAGTGCTGGTGACGAGGAAAACATATTAGGAGGGCGTGAACAGTATTGAATGAGTGTTTGGGTGCTGGGCGCAGGTACAATGCGGGGCTTCTAGGCGGAAGTGAGTGTGCACATCAGAGTAGATGTCCAACAGTTTTATTGAGGAACCAGTAAATACGGTTCAGGTTCTTCCTACACAGCTGATGATGTTTATTACTCTGCAATTACTGTCCTTGGCCGCGTTTTCACTCCGTTGGACAACCAATGACTTGTTCAGGCTATAGAAAACCGGGCACGAGGGTGTATCCAATTAAATCTTCTAATCAACATCTATCCAATTTCGCTATCCTTCCTTTTATACCAATGGTGTCTCATTGGTTGCTTTATGTTCGCGAAATCGAGTGGGAGGACAACAACGCTGGTGGAACCGCAGGAGGCTGGTTTCTTGGCAGGGATCTTTTGGTGTTCAAACTTACAGGAAGTGTTTTAACGCGTAGGGTGCTTGTTGTTGGGAGGGCAACCTGTTCGGCAAGTAATGTGGAACATGTAATATGCCCAGGTTTCCTGAAGAGCGAACGTAGAAGTTGAAAGATGTTATAAAGACACATATAGCGCTTTCATCTAAAAGGAGGCACGCTATGCCGTGTCAAAGTGAGCCTTCTTTATTGGTGAACACAGCAAGATATGCAACCTCGTCATGCAATGATCCTCTAAGGAAGTCCGTTGTAACATTAAACATAACCAGGTTTACCCGACAAAAGTTTATCTAAACACCTCATTGTCATGCGTTTGGTGAAAACTGAATGAAAACAGTGGAAGAAAGGGTCTCGGAGCTAGTGTGTAATGAAAATTTCTTGTTTTCTCTTTTTATTGGAAACTTTTGGAAGTCCGTTCCCATTTGCACATTTATCGCTATTACACGCTTTCCGAATATACAGCGGACATATACGGAAACAGTGCTTATAGCGCTAAATAAAAAGCTTCGTCAAGATAACGATTGCAAACAAGCTATTTGTTCTATGGCGCATAATAAATTTAGTAGCCAGAACTTCAACAAAAGCAGAAATGAAAAAAAAGCGCTTCCGGTTTCCACTTATTTCAGTGTACGTAATGGGTTTTATATTCAGGGTTCTGAAACCAGTGATGGAGCTGATTTTACATCACACATTTCTCCCGAGTTGCGAGCTGATGCGGAAAAACATTCATCCGAGGAACAGTGGAGGCGTAAAGTCAGAAAGAAAAGTCGCAGGAAATCGAGAAGGTTGGAGGAATTTCTCTCCTTTTCAAGAATATTTGTAGCTCGCATCACTTCTAACTCTGTATGGTTGAGTGGTTTGAACGTTGGAAGAAACTCGCTTCCTTAATTCTTTCAAATCGATAATTAAATTTAGAAATACTTTAGCGCGGGTATTGATGATAATGTTATTTTATTAACAGGCGAGACCTGGAAGCTGAACACTCTTCTCCGATTCTGTCTGTTCCTCCTAGAGCGGAGCCGCTTCACCTAGACCTATCCCCTGATAGCAGTCGACTCTCAGGTATGTGGCGTGTGTATATTCAGAGCTAAAGTAGTTGTTGCTATACACCTGGAGCTTGAGAGTACCCTATTGTTCTCTTTTCAGAAATTGCTTCTCCTTCTCGTGATTCTTCAAGGGATTCATCAAGTCTTGTCATCAGTAAAAATATACGACCTCGACCGGAAACGCGAGGATACCTCCACGCTCAGGAAACTACGAGTGCTTTTACCAGTGTCCCCCGTGGTTTTTCTTCTCCGTTGCCATCACCTTCTACTGCTAGACTGGCTCGTTTCTCATCTCAATCCGCAAATGTTGAGACAGTTCCATCTGTGGATATCGAGTTAGACAGAACGACTGTTGTGGGGCAACCGTCTCAGCGTGCTGAGGCAGTTCCGAATCTCTTCCTACCACAAGCTCCTCAAATACCTACAGCATTCGCCCAATCACCGTGGATACATTCTCAGCCTGAAATTTCTCAAGGGTTTGCCGCGTCACCCGCATACAACATTCGGCTGGCTCAAGGAACTGTCGTCGAGGGTGACACATTTCGTAGCGAAGCGGTTCCATTTGACCCCGTAGTGAAACCAGCTTTTAAGGCGCTCAATACTTTGAGTTTTGCCACTACAGATTCGGTTCTAGAGGAACAGCAATCGTTGAGCCATCCACCTACGGACGGCCCAAAATTATTAATCACTCAACGAAAGTCAAGGCAGCCTTCCGGGTCACAAGAACTTTGGGAGCCACTTGGTATTAAGAGCCCGACGTATGGTATCATTCTGCCAGTTGCAACCAAAAACGACAATGACGCTGATGATGCCACAGTAGCATTTTTGACATCGTCGCCTGAACTACTTTCAGAAGATGATAGTTGTCCAGTAAAGGAGGAGGTTGATGAGCAGCAAGGAAACATGCGTGTTGAAGGACTGTCACCTTCAAGACTAGTACATCATCGTCTCCGTTCATCCAAGAAGTTAACCTCGGAAAGTTCAGATACGGATCGGAGAACGATTATTGATTTGGAAGAAGATCAAGCTGAACGTAGATCAAGCGATCGAGATGGTGACATACAGAAGTTGTCGAATCAACTGGCTGCTCTGTCACAGTTATCCGGGCATGAACTTGATTCTGGAATGAACAGTGAATTAGAAACAACAGGAAATACAGTCGAAGAGGATATCGATAATGAGAAGACGGACGAAGGCGTTCTTCCTTTCCCATCTGAAAATCTGGAAAATGGTAACAAATTAACGAATCCTCTCATGGTCGCAGGAAACCAGTCTCTTTCTGAGGAGAGAAACCACATTCCTGTGCTGGTAAGCTCACAAGAGGTGATTACGAAAAGTGGACACTCCTTTATGTACGACCAAACCGAATTGGGTGGAGAGGTAATTGCTCATTCAGCAGTTGAGATATCCTCTCTGGAAAATGTCCCAACTTCTGAACCGAGTATTGAGGTTGCTTCTCAGCAATATTTGGATTCAAGAATCGCAGCTGCGCCTCTTGAGGACGTGGGTGGACAGCCAATCAGTGTGATCATCTCATCTAGAACTGACATGAATAATGGGCTGGAAGTCGTTTTGGAAACGAGCGGAGCTCACCATCATGGTATGGCGGTCGGGAGTAATGCAGATCTTGAGCTTCGCAAATGTGAAGAGGAGAACTTTTACGACGAAGATTATTCGGCAGATGACGACGAATTGATACATTTTCACGAGGAGTCTGAAAGGAACCATCAGGAGATGCTGAATCAGTTGCAGCAGGACCAAATGCCGGTGCAACAACAGCCGCTCTCAACATCCTCAAAAGCAGTGGTCCCGAATCAGTCACTTTCTGAGCAAACTGTCATATACCGTCCAGGAGACGAGAATGTTTTCCCTGCATGGTCTTCACAAGGCATGGCTGCAACTAACCTGGAATCACCACAACTGAGTGTCCAGACTGTTTTCGAAAACAGTCAACAGATTACAACGCAACACTCCGACCCTGCTTTTCAGACAGCCCTAGCAGACGTAGCAGCAGATCCAGTTGCATGTCATTTTGGTAATATTTCTGCATCACAATCATCATTATATCGCCAGCATACACAGCCGCATACCTTCCCACTTGAACGATGTCAAACTCAACGTACAAGGCCGCTGCAGCAAAAAATTCGAAAAACCTCTTTTTGCGGAAAATCTGATGGTACCAGCATGACCTCAGTGGAGTTCGAAGAGCAGGAGGATTTGAATGTGTCTACTCCCTTGGCCACCACACCACAGCAGCTTCAGCGCTCTCTTCAGCAACACCACCAGTTTAAATATGGATACGAAATTTTAGAAGGTTCCAAACGGCTACTAGAGATTGCTCCATTATCTCAACATCAAAATTTTGGCAGTTATCAAAAAACTTCAGAGCAAATTTCCGGCTCAGATCGATTTGCTACCACTCAGTCAATACATCCTGCCGAATTAATGGAAGAAGAGATGAGAGCAATGCGATATGTTTATCTGATGAACGAACAACGCATTGCTAAGAAGGCTCTGGCACAAAAGGATAGGAATGAGACGAAGTTCCCCGCTCCTCACGGTGATATTACCTATCTCTCCGAGCTCCCTCCGATAACGGTGGAACCGACTGTGATACCGGAAGGGATTCCGAGATCTCGAATGCAGGTACGTTTAATGAATGCATGTACTTGGTATCATTATGGTGAGTGGTGAGGGGGGCAAGCTATTTCACAAATTCTCAATGGCCACAAACTATTTGCAATCTTTAACTTCAATTTCCATCTTGCACACAACTCCATTCGCGAGTTCTTTTTGCTTCGAAGGCAGAGTTCACGATAATTCCCTGTTGCTGACTCGCGAGGCTTTCCCGCCCCTCGATCGATGTCACGTCAGACGAGCGTCGAGGCGATACAGATTGCAATTATTCGTTCTAGGACCCACACACAATCAGCTGACCGCCGGGTGATGAAGCGGTGTTTTTCTCCCTATCTTTTTTCCTCTATTATTCTTTTTGCTGCCGCGATCCCTTGTTTAATTCCCTGCCCTTTGAAAAGGGTGAGCTATTTTTGCTGTTGCTAGAGTTTTTTTGTTTACTTATGCTTATAAGTGAACGAATTTTTGCTTATCGTAGTCAGTTATTTGCACCAGGACTCACAAGTACGCAATGAGTGCGTAGCCCGTTGGAACGCCCCACTCTTCTTCATTCTTCTGGTCTCAAACTCGTCCAGCCTCCTTTTTAACGAATTTTCGAAGCCTTTTTTCACTTTGGAAATATCAACTCGTGGAGTTCCATCGCGCTATTTTCCATCTCATCTTCCATTGTTCGTCATAATCTGGACTACCCAAAATTATCGTGAACTGTGCCTCTGGAGCAGCCAGCCCACTTTTGTCCTTGTGTTTGGGTGCTGCGGTAGAACTTTGCCACTTGCTTAGTAATGCTTTTTCTCATAATTAAAATTAATCTGCATGTTTTGAAATTTGGAACATTCACAATCACTAGAATATCGCTTTGTTTTCAGAAGCATCTACAGCCTCCTTATCATCACGCCCAGTTTACATCTAGAGGCGGCCTGTGTGTCTCGCCTTGTAAATCTGATGCAAGTGAAGATGAGTTGGTGGATGTTCAAGAAGTGATGAACTTAGAGAATCTTGAGCCTATGGGAGCTCGAACAGTGATCCAAAGATTACAAAACCACTCTGAGCAAGCAACAGTTCGTGCTGAAGAATGTCGGAATGCTTCCTACACAGAGCCACGAACTCCAGCCCCTGGGTACCTCCGTCAGCAACGTCCTAGTGATGACTCACAGGGAAGTGAGCAGTTTTCTCGCTCTTCGCTACAGAATGATGTGCTGCTCTCAAATGCGGGGAAGGATAACACGATAGTTACCAACACTTTATCAAAAATTCCGCATAGTTCAAGCGCTGTTGAAGTAGGTATTTCTCAGCAGCAAAGCATGCCTGTTCCGTCGAAAGAAGTCAGGTTGTCGTCAAATGAAGAGGAATCTTGCGTGAGCAACGATGAAGGATGGGCTAGTGAAAAGGGAGAAGGTGCTGCATTACCTTCTGATGATGAGTCAACGGACAGTGAGCTTGTTCGAAGAGGGTGGGATCTGAGTCCAAGCGTATCACCCTTGACTTTGGAGACTTTAACCTCCGTTCTAAGCTCACCTGAAGGATCAGATTCAAATGACGATCAAATCGGCGTGCCCGTGTGGTCAACAATGTCTAGAAAACATGCGAAACTGGCAATAGCTGTGTGCCGCAATATGCCGAAACGCTTACAGCCTTTATGTCGGCGTTTTGTTTGGCAACAGGGGATCACGTACTTGCTGGAGAATTTTTGCCTGCAGAAATGGGAAATCCGTCCCGAACACGACGTTGAATCTGTCTGGTTCTTTGATAAACTAGTAAGACGATTCAAACCATTCGATGTCGTCCCTTGGGAAGTAAATGATAATGACGATGCAGCTGAAGTGCCGGAACGTGTGCAGAACGTTTTCTTCGGTTTCAATATTTGTGCAGATATTCCGTACAGCCGGTCTCGAAAAACCATCAGAATTGAGGATCATGCATCTTTGTCACTAACGTGGTGAGTAAATTTTCCAGAGCTGCGGTCATACTTATCGCACGCTGTGCGAGCCATATATCTGTTCTGTTCCAGCAAAGAAGCGCGAAGCGATCTTGAACTATACTCTTCTGACGCATCTTCCGTTGACGAATGTGTTGACAATGTGTAAGTGAACTAGATTCCTTCTTTTGATTTTAATCACCCGAAATAAGTATGAGCCCATTGAATAGGTTTCGACAGATTGGCTAGGCTCGACTCTGGCGTGCAGCTCAGCTATTTGTTTTAGGTTAATGGGACCTAGTGGAAATGGGGCTTCTTCACTAACGTCATCTATCTCTACAGACGAATCCACATCCACTGAGGGCGAAGATGTCACTTCATCTGATGAGGACGAACAGTAAGTAGTATAGTATCAGTGGTAGTTTCGCTTTTTTCATAGATGCTCATCTTCACCTTTCCTTCAGTGACTCGAAAGTCAACGGTACTAACGTGCGCTACAAAATATTTCCGCAAAAATTGTCATGGTGAGAGAAGAGGAACGTTTTTTTCGTTGTTGAAACTCAAGTAAGAATCTGATTCCAGTGAAAAGCAGGAGTTCATAGCCATGAGCTGTTGCAAACAATTCTTGCAACAAATGGTAACCCGTAAGAGCGGCAACGATTTCAGGTATCATTTTATTCTTTTTTGTTCTTTTGGTGAGCCCTAACAAAATATGATTTCGAGCCAACATCTATTTGACCGTTTAGAGTTGGCAATCTAAGTGCTGTGCAAGTGACGACACTGTTGTCCGAGCTTTATCGGGAACACCGTGCTGCATACGAGCTTATGATCGCAGACATAATACCGATTCCCGTACCTGATCAACGCGAAATCCCTTTTTCCGATAATGCTGAGTGGGTCGCGTCAAGAATTCTCGCCATTAACAGAGCTCAGAATAGGCTGTTGATTCCGAGTGAGTTTAAAGTACAGTAACCTTCTGTCACCTATCAATGTATGTTGTTAGGAGCTTACTAATGAGAAGATGGTGATTTTATTTGTAGGCCTCGCAATTTCTTGAAACAAATTTTGCAGCTTTTCCGCCATGGGCTGCGATGCACCGCCTCTGGAAGGTTTATGGACCGCTCCATCAATTTGCATCAGCAGTTGGAGGAGATTTTGAAAAATTCGTTGACGAATGTGTTAGTGTTGCTTACAACCACTACTATAGGATGTGAGGCATCACTTGATCAGTTGTTTTGACATATTACTTTAGCTGTGAATGCTATTTTTGAAGCAATATTGAAGATGTAGCAATGTGTAATATCCTGATTTCCATAGTTTCCAGAAAAAATGGAATCAAGGTAGCTGATGAAATTCCGGGTGATCTACTTGATTTATGCTACGCAATAACATCTGAACGTATGCGTGAACACACAGAAAGTGTTGAAGCTGCGAAGAAGAGGCTCGGTGGAAAAACGAAGTTTTCGAAGGCAAGGTGCGTGTGAGAACAACTTATGGTCTTATTGGGGTCATGTTGTGTTTGTTGTGTTTGCTATTTGGAACCTTTAGGATTCCATTGAGACGCCGCAGAGGATCCTGTTCTTTTGGGAGTCAACAAAGTGCAAATGAACTACTTCTATCACGTTGTCGTCGCGTCTATGACGAAAAAAGACAATTGAAAAGGAGAAGGTGGAACACGATGCGCTATCTTCACAATGCCCTGCCTGGATGTGTGATCGGTTAGTGTTTTTGATATGCATAAGATACTTATATTTAATCGTTTATGTTAAGAGCGAAGCATTGTTGCTTTTGCCTTTTCAGCACACCGAGGAAAAGCATGATCCCACGGTCAAAACTAGAGCAACTTGTGTTAACATATGAAAAAATTTTCTAAATGGCGAATGCATAGGCGTAAACTCTCGTACACTGCTAATGTTGGGATCAGCGCATGCCTAGAAGCATTACGGCGTGGTTTTGTATTGCTTGATGGTATTCACGTCTATTATTCATTCCCAGAGTTGGATTATCTCTGAAACGAGTGAGCATTAATTGTTGCTGCTGCAACGCCCGAACACGCGACCCCGTGAACCAATGCAATTCGATCGGCAGCCACAGGCAAAACAGCGATTGCTGGTCGCTGTTTTGCCACACGAGCCACTAGTATGCGTGAAGTTTTGCATTCATAGTACCGACGCCGACGACGGCGCTGAAGTTTTCAACATTTGAGTTGACGACCAACGCCGGCGCCTGCTTTGGCTCGGGACATTGATGCCTGGCTGGTTTAGAAAGCTGATTCCGGTTGTGATTGCGGCATTGAGTAAATTTCAAGCGTCAAAAGCTCGTCTTTTATCCTGCTTTTTCAAGTAGAACAAGGTTAACTGTTAAGTAGTCACGGGTCTCACATCGATTGCTGAGTAGCTACCGTTTGACGGGGCTTTTCAAGGAGCCTTTTGCTGTATCTTAATACACCAGTTGGGCTACGCACGCGAATGCGTGCACCACATGCCCACTGCCGCTTACCTACGACTTGTTAGAGGACCAATATGAACGTATTGGTTGGCCTTCCATTTCATAACTGCTTCTTCACCGCGCTCACGTGACATTCACACTCTTCATGGGCCTAAGTGACTTCCGGAAAGACGCACAAACCGACCCACAAACAGACGCACAAAGTTACTGTTTCATATATGAAGGCAGTGGGACCGCCCGGCTAACGCCGGGCTTCCCTCCTTCTCATGATAGAGTCGCGATAAACGACAAACAGCACACTCCTTCTTTGGAGCGAATGATACTTTTCGGAATA